CCTTGGCAACTTCTTCTTCTTGGATGAACACTAAAAGAACCACAAATGCACTCTTAAAGCTCAAGCTACACTCACAAATGATATTAGGGTTTTTCAGGGACGTTTGAAGGTGAAGGAGGCTGTTAAAGTGAGGTTCAAAGGAGTTAAGGATGTTTATATAGGTCTCAAGCCCGGTTTTTAGTGTTTGAACATGCTGGCACGTACGCCCAGCGTACTCCTGGTACGCCCATCGTACGTGCTGCTCCTCTGCGTTCCTCCTCACCAAGTACGCTAAGCGTACTCATAAGTACGCCCCGCGTACTTAAGGGTCTCTTATGCTAATATCAAGATACTTCAAGGGCTATAAAGTCATACCTGGTTTGGGTGTTACATGATCCATGACTTTCCACATTCCTATGACCCATGGGTTTAACCTCCATAGACTATCCATGGGTTATATTATTGGTTTAGCCCACTTACATAATCATGGATCTCTTAGCCCATACTAAAAGTATCATTGATTTACATAATCAATCCCTCCATATTTATTTAGTGTCTTTTGACCACAAAATTAATTCCAAATTAAATCTTGGACAATACTAATTAAACAACCATATTAATATATTATACTTATAATATATTAATAAATCGTAAATAACCTTATTCTCATAAAACCATCCTATCAAATTGCACTGCTGAAGGCAACCAAAAAGGACCATGCTACTATCGGGTCAAGTACATATCAGTTATAGTTATGGACTTAGACACTAAATCCAACAATTTGATCCCTACAAGTATTATTTACTCTTGGATAATGTTGGATATCTATATGGCCAAAAAGAACTATTTTGCCAAACAAAAATCGTTATCTAAAAATTAGTTAGGATGGCTACCATAGTCAAAGCAAAAAGCACGCAAAATAATAATAATAATAATAACAACAACAACAACATAAGAATGTAGTCTTTTCGGCCTCAATAAGTTGACCCATGTTATGGGTACCATTGTTAAAGCAAAAAACATCGAAAAGTATTCATTTCAGCCTCATCAAGTTAGGCTAATATAAAACTAGTTGTATACACTCAAAACAAGAAAAACGAAACTCCAAAACCGATCTCACTTATTAAACCTTGATGTATTTTTTTTTGTTTTGGCTAACTTATTCTATTTCCAGGTTAACTCCCTGGTGACATTGCATACTTGGCATGCCACATCGGCATTTATTTTTTTTACTTCTATACCTAATATTTTGGTATTTCTTCCGGTTTAAATCCGGGTGCTATGTAAATATATAGGGCCGGCCTTATGCTTTAACTTGTAAAGGTAAGGCTTAGGGCCCCACATTGTAAGGGGCCCCATTTAATTCCAAGTGTCGGTCCATCTCCTCATTCCCCAAAAAAATCACGCCTGCGTCTAAAGACTACATACAATCACACCTGCGATTGTGACGACGTCAACATTCAACGATTAAACTTCCGTTCTTTTCTCCATTCTCGAACTTGATTCAGGTCTTCTTCTCCAATCGATTATTCCACTGTTCCACTGTCGTCGACTGAATCACTGCTGTTCTACTTCTCGCTGATGTTCTCACCTCTCGGTTTCTCCACAGACAATTGATTCTTCATTGAATTTGAAACGGTAATGTGCTTGACTGCTTGTATTTTCCCTTTTGAGTTTCGATTTTCCTATTGTCTGATTATGTATTATGTATTTGGGGTTAATTTGTTAAATAATAGCCGATTAGTTGTCTATCTCAAACCAATGTTCTATTGATATTGCTTCAATCGATTATGTAATGGTCGCCTAGCAATAAACTTTGTCCCACTGCTTCAATCGATATTGCTTGACTGCTTGATGCTTTTTGGCTCTTGGTTTTGTTCATTGGTTGATTGGCAATTTGGCCCCAAACTCTAATATTTGGAAAAGTCTTCATCAGTACTACAAAACTGAATTTTGATGGAATGTACCCATAGTATAGAATGATATAACAAGCTTTTTTGACCAAACATGCAATATTTGATTTGAATTTTGTGGTTTGGCCTCAATATTTGGTTTTGTTTTTAATGAGATTCTTGTTTGACATCTAGTTATATAATGTCTTTTGATTAAAACATAATTTTTATTATTAAGTTATGTAATTTGCATTTTAATTGTTTTTGGCCTTTTTCCAAATGGCATGAATGTTCAAATTTGTTAATCTTTTCAATTTTCTGATTTTTTATTTTAGATTAACAGATTGTATTGTTCACTGATTCCAGATTGGCAGATTCCATTGTTTTTTAGCTTTTCATTATCTTAAGGGCGGTATAATGTCAAAGAGCTCCAAATTTTTGGTTCGCTTAGAGCCCTTTGAGACGGCCCTATAAATATATTAAGTATAACTGTATTTAATCATTATAAATTGTTATGATTCTTTGTATGCTTAGATATAAATTTCTATTTTTATGAATTTGCATGCTAACCGATGTGAAAAGATGTTAAGTCAATGAGTCAATCAGTTTTCATTATCTTAAGGGCGGTATAATGTCAAAGAGCTCCAAATTTTTGGTTCGCTTAAAGCCCTTAAACTGGTTGAGACGGCCCTATAAATATATTAAGTATAACTGTATTTAATCATTATAAATTGTTATGATTCTTTGTATGCTTAGATATAAATTTCTATTTTTATGAATTTGCATGCTAACCGATGTGAAAAGATGTTAAGTCAATGAGTCAATCAGTTTTCATTATCTTAAGGGCGGTATAATGTCAAAGAGCTCCAAATTTTTGGTTCGCTTAGAGCCCTTTGAGACGGCCCTATAAATATATTAAGTATAACTGTATTTAATCATTATAAATTGTTATGATTCTTTGTATGCTTAGATATAAATTTCTATTTTTATGAATTTGCATGCTAACCGATGTGAAAAGATGTTAAGTCAATGAGTCAATCATGTACATGTTGCATCTCATGCATATGGTTCATGGGTGAGATGACTTTGTGTGGTTCGGGCAATCTATAAGGTTTTTAGGTTTATCAAGTGCTTTGATGATTCTAGATAAGTTTTCCCTAGCTATGTGATACATTCATGATGAAAAGGCTCATGGACATGCAAGCATATGAGGATTGAAACATGACATGCAAAGGACACGAGGGATGAAACAAGGATATGCAAATGCATGAATGTTGAAGCAAGCCCAAGAACGTGCAAAGAAAATGGGTGATGAAGGAGACCAAAAAGTATGTATACACATAGTCTTAGTATAGTGGTAAGTATCCAAACCATATGGATCGTGTTTTTGGATTTTGTAAAAGTTAATTGTTTGGTCTATTTTTGTGGGCATGTTCAACATCTTTTTTTTTTTGAAAAACATGGTTCATGTATTTTTTAGGTTCCATGGCATTTTGGGTTTCCCTTGGACCCACACAGATTGTGTTTTGGGTTTTAGTCATTTTGGGCCAGTTTTACTTTTACGGGCTTTTTCAACATCCTTAAAAATAACTAATTAATTATGAATATTTATTATTTTTTAATTACATACAATTGATTTTTTTTTTCAAATTGGCATGGTGTATATAACATTGGCAAATGCGACCGCTGTGAAAATTGGGAAAATGCACCCTATAGGCCGCCCATGCTGAACCTACCCAAGGGTCCATCATGCGGTGGTTAATCGCAAAGTACCGACAATATTTTAGACGTGTTAAAGTTTGAACCTTGGATATTCTTTATGAAATCAACCACTAGACATTCTATATTAGGAGCAAATATGGCCAATGTGACTGTGTTATCTATGCAATACTTTCATCACTCATGATCCTGGCATGCTTCATCATCCAAAATAGATATGGAAATCATCATAATCATCATAAATTCATCATTGAGTCATCATAGAGTAGTAACTATGTTTAACCAAAAAATGCCAAAGTGTTAAATCTTTTGTGAGAGCCACAAATTTGGTATTTTGTGGAAAGAAAATGTTGATGTGGTATGTCATATCATTCCTGAACAATAAAATCTTCATTCTTTATGAATTAAATTCAAATCAAACATAAAATGGAAGGTTAAAATCACTTACAGAGTTATTTAAAATGCTTCAAACTCCAAAACTGTTCCTGGATGCACCAAAGACAGTTTGAATACTAAAATGCTACAATATTATATTTTGTACTAAATGGAGTTAGAGACCCAGTTTAATTATGTGTTTTGCAAAAAGGTGATAAAAGTCTCACCTTTTCCAGTCTCAATTATATATAATTCTCACCATTTTGTTAACGACAAATAAGATGCAAATTGCAAATGGAGTCAAAGACAGTTAGAAGGCATCTCGTAAATAAATGGTGAAAACGTTATTAAAGTAAGGCCAAACGAAAGTAAAAGGCAACTTTTTTTTTTTTTTTTCTAGATGGACCTCAAATGTAGATTAACAAATAGTTTAGGTACCATTTTACACTAATGGTATAGTCAAGGGTTCTCATTGAAATCAGGATTCTGGCACATCGCTCCCTCGCTTAAACCCTGGCGTTGCTCCGCTATACCTTCAACCGCTGTCAAACCTTAACAAAGGTTCTGAATTTTTTATCTATTGCCTCTCTTGATCCATCTATGGTCTGATCGGTTTAGGCAACAGATTCTCTACATCGCATACTGCTATTTATTTTTCTTTCTAATGACACAATCACTTCTCCTCATATGATTAAGATACTTTTTTGGTCGTGGTTAATAAGGCTTCTTCTTTTCAGTCCTTCTGTATTGGAACTCCAGTATCTTCTCGGAGCATACCCTATCCACGAGTTCACCTGTAGGATAAAGCTGCTAAGTTCATCAATTTCTTCCCAGAAAACGTCGAAGCATTTGGTCTTGTGCAATGTGCTTTGCTGCGCTTTATTATTCCAGAAAGCAAAACACTTGACTGGAATCTTATCCAACGGAAGACGAGCTGCTAAAAATCGATTTAGGTTTTAAAAGAGGGCGGTTATGTAAAGGAAGGGCGATTATGTTTTGCTGTGCGATTTATTTTTGAATCCCCATGTTACTTCCATGTGGGTTCCTCTAATCAGGTTAGTTTTTCGCCGTAATTTGGTCAAATGTGACTATACTATCCGATTTAAATCAATTTCATCACTTGCCCAGTTACCCTTCTCCGACCCCGACGTCTCAGATTCCGGTTCAGATGAAAATCCTTCATTTTCCCACAAAAACAGTAGTTCCAATTCATTCGATCATTCCCACATTGTGTTTTATAGACATAGATTCACCAAAATCTTAGCCCACTTACAAATAAAACCCAAAACTGCATTGTTTTTAATTACCCATTTGAAAGAATGTGGTTTTAAGCATGATGTTGTGACTTACATGGCTGTTATAAGGTTCTTTTGTTACTGGGGCATGATGAAGAGGTTAAACTATTTGTTTCTGGAGGTTATTGATGATAAAATTGGGGCTTTTGGTTTTGAAATTTCTGATCTGTTTGAAGAATTGTTGGAAGAGATGAATGTGAATGGCTGGAATTTGTTTGGTAGAGCAGTTGATGCTTTAGTTATGGCTTTCTGTGAAGTCAGGAAGTTTGATGAGGCTTTTAATGTGTTGTTAAAGATACAGTCTGGATTTCTCCCATCTGTATATACCTGTAACTTTTTAATGAAACTGTTGGTTGAAGAGGGCAAAGTGGATAAGGCTATGGCAGTTTATGAACATTTGAAGAAGAAAGGTTTCTGTCCAAACGCATACACCTATGGGATTGTGATCAAAGGACTATGTAGAAAGGGTTGTTTAGAAGAAGCTCGAGATGTATTTGAAGATATAAAGGAAACTGGACTTGAGAATACTTTCACTCTTGGTTCCTATATTGATGGACTTTGCTCAAATGGCTACTCCAATTTGGCTTTTGATTTGCTAAAAGGGTCAGATTCACCTATAGATGTTTTTGCTTATACTTCTGTCATTCGTGGTTTTGTAAAGGAGTTGAAGTTAGAAGATGCAGAAAGTGTCTTTCTTCATATGAAAAATCTCGCAATTTTCCCGAATGTGTATTGTTACGGGGCTTTAATCCAAGGGTACTATCGGAAATTGGATATTTTCAAGGCCTTGGATCTTTATAATGAAATGTGTTCAAAGGGTATCAAAACAAATTGTGTAATTGTGAGCTTGATTATGCAATGTTTGTGTCATTTAGGGATGTCATCCGAAGCTATAAACGAATTCATGAACGCAATGGAATCCGGTGTTTTTCTTGATGAAATCTCGTTTAATATTGCGATCGATGCTCTATGTAGACTAAGGAAAATGGAAGAAGCTATGGAGCTTCTAGAAGTGATGAAAAGGAGGAAAATGAAAGTAGATGTTAAGCATTACACCACTTTGATTAAAGGGTATTGTCTCCAAAGTGATCTTCTAAATGCTTTAAACATCTTCATTGAGATGAATCAAAAGGGGTTGAAACCCGATACCATTACTTTCAACATGCTTCTTGATGGGTTCTCAAAATGTGGCCTTTTCAAGGAGACAATGAGTCTTTATGATGATATGTTAGCACAAGGTTTAAAACCCACAAGGGCTACAAACAATGCTATAATCGAGAGGTTATCCCAATGTGGAAAAGTGAAGGAAGCAGGGTTATTTTTTAATAATCTTGAAAGAAAAAGCTTGAATGATTATGTTGCTATGATGAATGCATACTGTGACACAAACAATGCAATCGAGGCGTATGAACTTTTTCTTACATTATCCAATCAAGAAAAGGAAGTGTTTTTAGCATCAAAAGCTTCTTGTTGCCAGAAACTTCTTAGTTGTCTATGTGAAAAAGATGAAACCGATAAAGCTTTAATCTTCTTTAAAGCAATATTGAAATCAGAAAATGGTCCTTCTAAAATTATGTATAGCAAACTCAAATCAGCTTATTGTCGTGTTGGAGATATGAAAATGGCAAGGTGGGTTTTTGATAAGATGATTGCAAGAGGAATAAGACCCGATGTTATCTCCTACACGATTATGTTAGATGGATATTGTCAGGTGAATTGTTTAAAAGAAGCCAAAGATCTTTTCAATGACATGATAAATCATGGTATACAACCTGATGTCATAACTTATACGGTTTTGTTTCAAGGGGATTTTAAATCCGGGAGAAAAGAAAGGGTTTTGACACGAGATTTAACCCCAGTCCAAGAGTTTGCTCCTGATGTTATTTTGTTCAGAGTTTTGATGGATGATTATTGTAAATCAGGGAAACTTGAGGGTGCTGTTGGTCTCTTTAATGAAATGATTGAACGAGGTGTTGGACCGGATACTGTAATATACACTTGTCTTATGCGTGGGTTTTGCTCTCAGGGTTTTGTGGAAGAGGCTGAAATGCTTTATGATAGGATGGTATCTGAGGGGGTCCCACCTGATTCAAGTACCATGGCACTGATAAAGATGATGAAAAACAAGAAAATGTGATTTTAAGGACTTTGGAGTTTTTGGCAACTTTGTACATGTTTGACATATGAGGGCACTCACTTGTATATTCTTCACCTTCTTTTTGGTTTTTTGTAAAGTAAATCTGTAGGTAAATGCAGTACTTTAGATATTTCCTCATTAATATGGATCTCTGAAGTTGCAAGCTAAAGTTAACGTGAAGGGACTATAGTATAAGATAACTATTCGATCATAACTATATTATTCAATGAAAGTGTTTCACATATGTTACCAAGTCACTCTCATGTCATGAGTCCAACATAGCATCCTACTTTCATTTCATTCTATTGCAGCTTTGTACTTCAAGAATGTTTCTCATTAAGACATTGTACCACTTTAATTTGTTTTTTCTTAATAGGATACTAAATAATGAAAAATCAACTTAATTATTACAGTGAAAATGGCTTTGTATTTGTATGATAGTGCTATAATTGGGTACAGTTTTCAAAGTACATTGGTGAGCGGGAAGAAATGAAAGTATGATGCCCTAATAAACATATCAATAAAAAATACATTGTTATTTCTTGCATTTAACAAAAACAAAATTATCATGGAATTTAAGGACTATATTGAACAAATAAGAAAGTGATATCAAGTAAGATGCATTTGGTTGATGACAAAGGGGATTATTAGTATTCCATTATCATCTAAATTTGTATAGTTAAGAGATACAGGGGCTGCCAAAAATTGGGGTTTTAATTATAGTGCCTCTGCTTATCAGTTTTTTTTTTTTTTTAAATATATATATATATATATATATATATATATATATATATATATATATATATATATATATATATATATATATATATATAAAAGATTGGGGAATTTTTTAAAGCGTTTTAGTAAATGAAGATTAGTCAATCTACAATTGTTTGGTAAATGTATATTTTTAATTAATATCTCATGATTTAAAACTCATCCATTGACGATAAACTTAAATTTCATATATTTAGTAAATTAAAGATCAAATATCGCCAAATTTCTATATAATTGGTTAGAATTTTCTTTCCCACGTGTTGAGTCCAGCGAATTAACTAATTATTTTATTAACAAGCCATTGTAAGGTAATTTCATGTATTTTTTTTTATAAATATATTTTTAAAAATTACCTTTTAAGTATCAATGCTATAAGCTTATAATTAAACGAACAAGTTAATTACCTAATAATATTAATTAACTTTTGCACATTATAGTGAGAACTGAGAAGACCCATCTTTCTCACATGATTAGACAAATCTCCGCTTTGCATCACGAAAGAGGTGCTATTGTCCACCTACTGAATCATACAAGGTCTCATCTTAGTCTAGACTCTAATACTAATAATTTGACCAAAAGTCAACCTAGTCAGAAAGTTAACGGTCAAAGTTTGACTTCGACTGACACCTACGTCGTGGCCAATCCATGGTCACGTTGTGGCTGATGAGTTCGGCCCCGGCCCAACCTCTCAGTTGCAAGGAAAACCATCGTCACGCCATGGAACACAAATCACCACGTCATGGCAAAGATAGTCCAAAACAGTCGTGAATTCTCCTGTCCTCACGTTGTGGCGAACAGGATGCCACGTTGTGGGCACTGAACTTTCACAACTTAATGGATTCAGCCTCCAAATCATTAAGCCAACTATTCATCCCTTCCAGAAAGCTTCCTAATGACCACTATATCCTAAAGATTGATGCTTTTCGGCCATGCATGCTCGATACATGGCTACAGCTCAAGCTATGTCACAAATGAAGAGAAACACCAACATTTCATGCAAGGTACTCCAAAACATCAACACACTGATCTGAACTATATGACCTCAAGGATCCATAAAGTTGCTAACTTTATGGGATCCTTCCACTCTAACTACATCATCTTGAAGAAAAATGGGACAAAAACCTAGATCTAGAAACATAAACAATAAATGTTGAATCTTAATCACTTACAAAGGTACATAATATAAGGTTGGAGATGATGATGAGACTTGCAAGCTAGATTTACACTCCAAGTGTGCTTCCTTCTTCTTCAAAACACCAAAATACCAACAAAAGCTCAAGATCTTCAATAATGGAGGCTAGGGATACAAAGAGAATGAGAGGGAGGTAATGGAGGTTGAGGGTGTGAAAACCCTATCCCTCACATCCCTTAAATAAGGGAACAAAACCCAGAACTAGGGTTTTGCACAAAACGGATGCCTCGCCGTCGCCAATATAGCGTCACGCCATGACACTCATTAAACATGTGCGCCCCATAAAGTCCTGCCACGCTGTGGTGATGCCTCCACCACGTCGTGGCCAACCAACAATCCCATAATGCTTTTAAAATTCATACCTTAAAGATCCGGATGTTGCAAATTGGTGACAGTCTACACCTATCGACATGTAAACATGGTTGTACGTTCGGGGGTGTGTAAACGAGCTATGATTTCCCTGCCCAGTCCAGTTCAGATTGGTAGTTGTAATGACAACCGCTTCATATGTTTGTGACGGTACAATGATTTTTTTTTAATTAGCTAAGTACTGTATGTTCAGGACAACATTCAGGAATAAAACGAAAGTGTTTCGGACAACATTTAGACTCGTTCTATGCATTTCAAATGTGTTCTATGCGTTCTGGATTAGTTTTGTGTATTCCGGACTTGTCTAAACGGATTCAAAAGTAGTTTTTTATGATTTTAGTTGTCCCATTACACATATATATACAAAAGCCTAACACCAACTAAAATCGAAAGGAAAACGTGTTATTGCTAATTAATTGAATCAAATCATACAAAAAGCACAATTTTTTTTTTATTTCTAACATATTATAACATATAATCATAGAAAGAATCGCACATACCCATTAATGTTAGATCTCTTCAATGCTAGAATAAGACATTGTTCAAAATTGATGAAGTTCGGAACAAGGAAAGAGTAGTCTGAAATACGGTCCGATACAGTGTGTTCGGCATAAGGTGTCTGACATGCTATATACATGGACCACGTTACCGGGTCGAACATTTTTACCCATTTAAATATTTCAAAATTCGGGTTCGAAATAAACATTTCGGACCAAATGATTATTTTTTTCTAAAAAAAACCAACAAAAAATGGTTAGATTACTTAATTCCCTATTATATTTCATATATTTAGTTAACTACAAATCAAATATCACGAAATTTCTACCAAAGGGCCTTTGGCCTAGCGGTATTAAGATGTTTGAAAATGTGTCCCTTCCATAAGGGATTGCGAGTTCAAGTTCCGTCGTAGACAAATGGATAGTTAGGGGTAAGATTTAGAGGTGTGTTTGTAACACCATAAATTTTCAACAAATTTTTTCGTTTAAAAACACAATTATCCCATTTCATAATCACAACAATCCCGTAATCATCAAGTTATCAAAACACATGTTCCAAAACTGAATACATCACAAATCCAGTATCCTCCAAAAACATATCTCCCACTCGGGTGTGTGTACAATCAAGCCGGTGCCTTCCCGTGATCCTGAGAGGTACCCGAAACACATAACACATAACACGGTAAACACGGAGCTTAGTGAGTTCCCCAAAATACCACACACATCACATTAGCCACTCAAGGCTAACTCAATGCGACCCTCCGGTCAATGTGTCTAAGAGGAGACCCTCCGATCCCACAACTTGGGTGGACCCTCCGGTCCTGACTTAGTAAGCTCATAATAACAATACTCAACATAAATCACAAAGACATAATGCAGAATATCAAAATATACAGGTAAGCACATAAGACATCTCAGTCACACAAAGATACCACTCATGGTAAGTATAGTGAGAAGACTCACCTCGTAATCAAGTAAGAAATAGTCTTGTACACGAATCTCGAACTAGCCTCCGCCTAACACATAAGATAATAATCTCTAATCAACACTTAAATCACGACTCGAAATAAACTAGGTTAATCTCCCTCCCAAAGCCCTCCACGGTCCCCATACTCCATGCCTTGACCAAACCTTAACGTCAACAGAAGTCAACACTCAAGTCAACTGTCCATGTTCACCTGACTCGCCGAGTGCATCTGTGACTCGTCGAGTCCCCCTTGTTCCTTCAGAATCTTGCAAAAACCCAACTCAACTCGTCGAGTTGTCCCGTTAACTCGCCGAGTTACCCATGACCAGATTCATCGGGGAAAATCCTACCTGACTCGTCGAGTTAGCTCTTTGACTCGCCGAGTCCCTTAAGTCAAAATCTCATTCAGACGTTTTACGACAGATCTATCACCCCAAACTCTAGATCTAGCCTCCCAAGGGTCGAATGTCACGTAAAACTTTGAACTTTACGTTCATGCATGACATGTTTGCTCATAATGCCAAATAAAAGCTCTAACCAAGGCGTTTAAGCACAATAACTCTTTATGGTTGGATAAAGCTGGGACCTTTGGACTCTATGGACCTCACAAAGTCCAGATCTGATGTCTCAATGCTTGGTAAGCACAAGGCATACCAAATCTCAAGGAAATATGGAAAAAGCCCCAAAAGTTCTCATTAACAAGATCTAAACAACATGATGAGACTTTTACCTTCCAACAGAAGCTCCAAGTGTATGATTCCTGGATCTCACAGCCTTTTCTCGTTCCTTGCTTGAATCTCCCATCTTCTTCTTCCAATGCTTCACCAAAATACTCAAATATAAGCTCTAACACTCTCTCTTAGCTCAAAGACCGATTAGGGTTTCACTCAGGGAAGTAGGGTAGCTGGTGAGACGGAAATGAGGACATAAGTTTCCTTAAATAGGCCCCAAACTCAGGGATTTAGGGTTTCACCTCACAGCGCCTACTCGGCAAGTCAGCTATCTGACTCGTTGAGTCGATCATTAAACCCACGTGGTCTAATCGAACTCTACTCGACGAGTTAGGCTCACAACTCGTCGAGTTACACATGAAGTCTCAATAATAAATAATAATAAAGAAATACCTGAGAGTCGGGATGTTACAGTGTTAACCGTTCAAAAAAATATCACGAAGTTTCTATATAATTGGTTATAATTT